AATATCACATCTAGATTCTACTAATTTTTCGTTATCCATTGTACAGGGTGTTCCTGAAATAGGTGATCGAACTTCGGAGACTCTTCGTTTTCAAGATAAATAAATACTTTTCGTTTGCGACATATTAGATTTTAAATAAATTTTTCAATGCTGAAAATGGCATGCAGCATTGCTGAAAATGACTTCCCTGTGCCGTGGCCTTGTTTCCTTTTCATCGAAAATCAATTTGCTTTTAAATTGAAAACAATCGCAACCTCACTTGGCAATTAAATACCAATTAACTTTGTCAGTTTTGGAGAAAACATTTTTCTGTCGGACCAATCGGGAGGGGCTGAAAAATCGCGGGAACTAATTCGTGCCTGATCGCGTACAGCAGGTCCTCGTATGTTCTAATAACAGTTCACGTAATCCTGTAACTTTAATGGAAATACATCATAGTCTCTTTACGCGGAAATTTATTTGTCTCTTGAGGCAGATGCGTTTTCCAAGCGGTTACGACACGCTAAGATTTCGGGATTTGGGGATTTTGCCCGTAACATTGAAGGAGGGACACAAAGCTAATAAGATTGAACCAATTAAATCACAGGGCACAACTCTCTGATGGCGTTACATCCCATTTCTGTCTAGATCGAGGTTAACAAGGAAAGATCGATGCACCGGCGAGATCTTATACAATTTATCGCGAGCCTGGAAGAAACATCCTTCGCGTTCTAGTCATCGATAATGGAGCTCAGAATTATTGGGAGAAAATAATAAATAATAATAATAATATGTAATAATATATGCAATAACTAAACATATAAAATAATATATATAATAACTAAAAATATAAAATTATATATATATAATAACTAAAAATACAAAATAATATATATATAATAATTAAGAATATACAATAAGATATATAATAACTGAAAATACAAAATAATATATATATATAATAACTAAAAATATGAAATAATGTATATTGTACGAAGAATACCGAATTTTCAATAATCCAAATAAGTTGATTCGATTTCATGCAATATCTTGAAAAGTAGAATAGAAAAAAAATAAAGCGACGTGATCATTAGTTCAGAAAATGTATAGATAGCACCACTGCAAGCCAATCAACCATTGTGATAGATAGAACATGTTGCATTTTCACTCTACCGGTCAAAATCCAGGAGATTCGTTCTCTTCTTCTCAATTTTTTATCTTTTAACATCGCAGTGATAGCCTGGCCATTAACAACGACTGTTTTAGTGTTTAGATTTCGTCTAAAGATTTCATTTTCGGGAAATGTTCTTTGTCCGTTTTCATTTATGACTGCGTAAGAAATCTAGACAGAAGGGGAGGATGAGAGAGTGAGAGAGAGAGAGAGAGAGAGAGAATGAGAGAGAAAGAGAAAATCATTTGTTACCGAGCTCCGAGAAAACAGCGCACGTTTTTAATTGCAAAAGTTCACGATACTCGTTCGTCGAGTGTCGCGTCAAGTGGTCCTCCTATCCGTCGTTTTGTTGTTCTCGAATTACTGGCAATGTCTGCATTATTTTGCATTTGCATTGTTAATTCCCGCGAAATACAACGATCCTGTTAAATCCCGATTTCACGTAATTAACGAATTGAAAACGTCGAGTAATTCGTCCTGTAAAGATTCAACCGTAATTCAAGTCTTTATCTTCATTTATTGCAAATAAAATTGCATTTTAACCGTCAAATTTGCAATCAAATTGTTCTTTGAACAAACGAACAGCGATAATATCCTTTCCAAAGTACGCAAATTACACTGCGACCGAACGACAAATCCGTGGACGTTTCGAATTCGTTATCAATCTTGTACAGATAAAATTTATGACTATTTATTTGCTGTAAAATGAAACGATAGCCAATTTGGTCAGCCTCGACCGCGAATCGGAAAGAAGGAGATCGAGGATTCTATCTTGTTCCGAACAAATGAATTCGATGCTTCCGAGATAACCCGTTCCCGATAACCATAAATCGCGACCGGAGGCGCTGCGAATTCGTATCCGTGATCGCGTAACAAGAGCCCATTACTATCATTCGGCCGAACATAGCTCCGGGGATAGTGGAATACCGTAACTTCGTACGAGAACACGACCGATGCTAACCGAAAGCAACAAGTTCTCCAGACCGTTTTGCCGCGATGCTTGTTGTCGGAACGAAAGTCGTCCGAGTGCGCGCGGCTTAGCACACGATCCGACCAAATAATGTTCTATCTAAGAATCTCTCGCTGTCGCGTGCCGGATGCACGTAAAACCTGTAGATTCCTATCGACGCTTGGCTGGAATGGAATTTAGTGGGATCGCAGAACCGATTGAAATTTTCGCTGACGAAATAACGTCTCTCGCTGCCGGCGAAATGCTCGAAGTCTCCGCGAGAAGGACCGTTTTTTCGTGGCTCTCCGCGCACTTCCGTTCGTTTTAATGTCATTTGTATATGCGTACAATTTTAATTCCAATTACATTACGCATTATTTGTTTATTTAGGATCGTTCTCCGCTCCGAAATCTACGGACGCCGCGCTTCGCTCTCGCTCGATCTGAAAATAAATCCGGCCGCGAAATTCAAGCCTAATTCTCCCTAATCGATGCTCAGATTCTACGGTAATTTCTGCCTAATTCGCGGTCAGATTCGCGCACAAAGATGGACAATTTGGGAAGAGGAGACGCGATTGTATTATACAATCGAATCTCCGCTTTACGAATCGTTCATTTTTGTGCGCAATCTGAGCGCTAATTAGGGGAAATTTACTGAAAATTTACTCTTCGAAAGTTAGATGTCTTCAAGCACCAAAAACAGTATCACAGCTAATAATGTCATTTTCATAGTTATTTGTGCCAGTTTCGCATTATATGCTAACAAAATTAATAAATAAATAAATAAATATATATATTATTATATATATATAAATTATAAATTGATTATATATATTGATTATGTATCAATATATATATATATATATATATATATATATATATATATAAATTATAAATTGATTATATATATTGATTATGTATCAATATATATATATATCAATATTATATAATTGATTATATATCAATTTATAATTTTATGGTATACAGGGTGTCTCCGTTAAGCGTGGTCTCCAAAATATCTTTATGAACTGTGATACTGTGAAATAAATATTCAATTAATGCTCCGGATTTTTATGAACAGCAAACATTGTTTTACAATGATATTACAGGCTGTGCCATGGTTAAGCCGACAATCCTCAGATACGAATTCAGAACCATAAAACAGACAAATTCTTCTTCTGGAATTATGCTTGGAAATGTTTGCCTCAAGAGATATTTATTACTAAAGTTGCAGGACTTGGTAATACAATATGCTGTCGAAATAACTCAGATTTATCGCGTGTACTGCTGATGAAAAATTATCGTATTTATTACTAAAGATAACTGTAATTATTACGTACGTTGTCCATATTTTAATAATTGAATATTTATAATTTCCGGAATTTTATAATTCCATTCTCTCAGGTACTTGGGTCGTGAAAATAATACTTTTTAACTTTTTAAGTTAGTCCAAAGAGCTTTACTATTTCGTATATGTACAATAAACACAGTTTTTGAAACGTCTGAAAACTAATGAACCGAACTGTCTACTCGAACATTAACTAATTACTACTAAATATTGAACACACACTACTGGGATGTTACGAACTTACGACTACTTAACGAAACCGCTGTAATATTCAAGAAGATCTGAAAATCAACTTGAGTAAGATTATATTAGATAATTAATGCTGTAACACTAATTTATTCATTCTCCATTACTTCTGATATTATCATCGTTAACTAATTAATGTTTCTGTTGCAATATATTATATGGTGTCCTCTGATATAACATTTTTCATAATTTCGTATGTAGATCAGTGCTCGGAACGCTTCGGGACGCGACATTGGGCTCCGCCTCCCGACTCTGCCGCCGCTGCGTCTCGCTCCCCACCCCGCGGCGGCAGTCAGTGGGCGGAGCCCAATGTCGCGTTCCGAAGCGTTCCGAGCACCGATGCAGGTTAAATAAAGAAACAGTGAAAATAAATAAACGGTGAAATAAATGAACGAACGGATAAATATAATGATTCCGTTCACATGTATCAAAATAGCGTGGACAAACGAGAAGAAAAATATCGAGTAAAATTAACCGATTACTCACCGTGATGGTAAATGGTATAGTGTTGACCAGCTCCAAGATGAAGTGGAACGAGAGTAACTGCTGCCAGACGTTTCCCTGTGAACATGACGGAGACAGCTCAACAAACCCAGCGACAATTACAAGAAAATACAAAGTGCGTTAGAAGAGTCTGAGAAAAGGTCAAACAGCCGTTCTGCACTTTCGCTCGCTGGTCTCATGCAATAACTGTGTGTTCTCTGTGTTAAGTCGTCGAGACCCGAAATTTTTGTTTCTAAATTAACAAATTTTTTCACTGGTCTCCGAACACGAATTTCACGCTGTTTCTTTTCTTCGATTCGTGAATTTTACATTTTATCGTTCCGTTCTGTTTATATATAAATAAGTATATTATAAGTTTATGTAAATAAGTATTTATAATAAATCAGTTCTGTTTATCTGTGTCGTTCTGTGTAAAAAATAAAAAAAATACATAAATAATATATATATATATATCATTATATTATAATATTAATATTATAATATAATATAATATAATATAATATAATATAATATAATATAATATAATATAATATAATATAATATAATATAATATAATATAATATCATTATATTATAATATTAATAATATAATATAATATAATATAATATAATATAATATAATATAATATATATATCATTATATTATAATATTAATATTATATTATTATATTATATATATATAATAAAAGAATACCATCTGAGAAAAATCGATCCAAAAATTATTGAACGGAGTGATCGATGCTTCGATCGTCAGCCCGTCACGCTACTAAATTTGATCGCCGCGAGCTGGTCGCGCGAATTCCATGCCGCGGAATCCTCATAAAGCTGCGAGTTTCGCGAACTGTGATAAACAGACCGCATATTTAACCGGTTCACAACGAGAACGCATTGAAACAGCGGGAGGATTGAACTGGTTAAAAGAAACCGATATAAAACTGGAATCGGCCGAAGAGTGATGAACTTTCATCCGTGTCTCAAAAGCGAAAGCGACCATTGAGGCGAGACAAAGGGGAACCGAGAGTTCGATTTTTCAGCTACGAAATATCGTTCTCCATTTTTTTTTCCCACGGAACCACCGCCGCGCGCGTCCATGCTTTTTTATCTCTCGAACGCCCGACAAGTTTTTTCATCTCCGTAAACCAAAGATTCTTCTGACCTATTTCTGCTAAAGAAACTCCGCTGCGCGGTACGACTTCATCGTTCGATTTGAAACGAACACGAGTGTCGAGTGCCTTCTTCGATCCTGGAAAGAAGCGAAGGACGAGAAGGGCGTCCCGCGTTTGAGCACGGCGATGATGAATTTCGGCGAACGTAACATCTTCGGCACAGTTCTTGGAACTCGGTTTCACGGAACGTTCCTTGAATCACATCGACGTCGCAGCCGTATCGAACCTCGAAGCTCTGAATCATCCTGTTCGGAACTACGTCGGAGGAAACTTGTTCATACGCGACATGTTTATTAAGGAGAGATGCAGCTGTAAACAGAGCGCTTTGGCGAAGTTGTGTCTCACTTTGTTCCGGAGATGCAGGCGAATATAGGGCGGAGGAGCCAATTACTGTGCCCCTATTCGCGGACTCCGAGGGTTTTCTCGTTACTGAACACAGTTCTAGGAATTCAGTTGATATTTCTTAAGAACTTCGAGGGGAATTTCGAAGTTCCTTTCGTCGACATCAATTTTCCCACGAAACAAGCGTCTAATATAATAATATAATAATATAGTAATATAATGATACGATAATATTATAATGTAATAATATAATAGTACGATAATACAATAATATAATAATATAATAGTTCAATAATATAATAATATGATAATATAATAGTACAATAATTATATTCCAAATTATATGTAAATTCTAAACATTTTATCTATAATTATTTATTATTATTTGGAATTATGTACAATTATAAATAATTCCGAGAAGAACGCATTTCAAATTTTGTGTACCAATAATCGCTCGTAGAGAGGACCTTCTTCAACCAGCTTCAATTATTTTAATATAAACAAATTCAGTCATGAGGTTTCGTAGACATATTTCTAAATCTACGCAGTTCAAGAAAATATGAAACAACTCGAATTTTTTTCACGGATTCACACTGAAACACTCCCTTCAACTTAACTTCGAANATAGTACAATAATATAATAATATAATAGTACAATGATACAATAATATAATAATATAATAGTTCAATAATATAATAATATAATAATACAATAATATAATAATATAATAATATAATAACACAATAATATAATAATATAATAATATAATAGTACAATAATATAATAATATAATAATATGATAATATAATAGTACAATAATAAAATAATATAATAATATAATAGTACAATAATATAATAATATAATAGTACAATAATATAATAATATAATAGTACAATGATACAATAATATAATAATATAATAGTTCAATAATATAATAATATAATAATACAATAATATAATAATATAATAATATAATAATACAATAATACAATAATATAATAATATAATAACACAATAATATAATAATATAATAGTACAATAATACAATAATATAATAATATAATAATACAATAATACAGTAATATAATAATATTTGATTCTCTCGGAAATCTAAAAAGATTCGATGACCCGTCCGAATCCCGAAAACATTTCTCATCCAGACCCGATCCGACCGGACATTTTCGGGTCCTCGAACACCTTTAGCGAACGCAACGTCGATTCCGAGAAGTTATCGAGAAAAAGGTGACCATTGTGTTCCAATAAGTTAAGTTGCGGAGCGCGCGACGCGAGTCCGTTTAACTCTGACAGACGTCGAATTCTCGGCAGCAAACTTCGTAAATGGAGAATGACGGAACAAGACATAATAGCGGAGCGGCGCGGGCGAAGGGTGGGGAGGGGGGTAGGGTGGAGTGTACACTAGTGTGCACGTCGGTTTCCGTTACTATAACCCATTTGACGATCATTAGTCGTGAACCAAGATTGGATTCCCTTCGGCCGGGTCAACTGCTTGCAGCGACTGCGAATCATAGGAACCGATTTGCCACGGTGTTCGTGTGTATTTATTCGGCTGTGCCATGCGCGCGTGCTCGAGCGTTCAACCGTGTGCGTCCAGAGGGGCCGCGCTCTGGCACGGCTCCCGAATCTCTGAGAACTCGAGTCCACTTCACTACGGAGCCCCTCTCAGTTTATGCTCCTTCGCGATCCTCGAGTGGCATCGAAAGCCTTTGAACCCTCCCGCCCTCCCACCCCTCGCGATTCAAAACGTCACCCTGTTTTCTGGCCAGCTGGCCCTCGAGCTAACTACTAATCGATCCGCTACATCGCGCTCGGAGATCGCTCGATCATTCCGATCGCATTCCTGAAATTTAATCGTTTACCCGGACCTTTCGCGGTAATTGCCTTCGGAAATCATAATTTCGGCGGATGCCGAGCCTGATGGACGATGGGGTCACGAGTAGGGGAGAAATACCATGAATGGGGCATTTATTTGGGCGCGTTTGAGGGCATTTATTATGGGGCACCATATTGAATGGGGCGTTACCGTTTCTCGGAAAATGTAAATCTTTCTGTAACACAGAGTTATTCAGAATAGATTATAGTGAGTTTTCATTTTTAAATAAGAAACAAGCTACTTTGAACTTTATTGCTCTTTTTATTATGGGGCACCATATTGAATAGGGCATTACCGTTGTCTCAGGAAATGTAAATCTTTCTGTAACACAGGGTTATTCAAAATAGATTATAGTAAGTTCTTAAAAAAATAAAAAACAAGCTACTTTGAACTTTATTGCTCTTTTTATTATGGGGCACTATATTGAATAGAGCATTACCGTTGCCACAGAAAATGTAAATCTTTCTGTAACACAAAGTTATTCAAAATAGATTATAGTAAGTTTTTTTTAAAATAAAATACAAGCTACTTTGAACTTTATTGCTCTCTTTATTATGGGGCACCATATTGAATAGGGCATTACTATTGTCTCAGAAAATGTAAATCTTTCCGTAACATAGAGTTATCCAAAATAGATTATAGTAAGTCTTCTTTTTTATATAAAAAACAAGCTATTTTGAACTTTATTGCTCTTTTTATTATGGGGCACCATATTGAATAGAGCATTACCGTTGCCACAGAAAATGTAAATCTTTCTGTAACACAGGATTATCCAAAATAGACTATAGTAAGTTTTCTTTTTTAAATAAAAAACAAGCTACTTTAAACTTTATTGTTCTTTTTATTTAATTATCAAGCATCTTCTATGACGATTATATGTGAAAGAGGATATCTGGCGAATGACCATCACGACCACGTTCGATCAGTTCGATATCAATTTGAACACATCAACATATATATTTTCGATGAGGTTTTGGCATATTTGCTCATTTAATTCACCAGTTTCATTTCTAATGTTTTTTTCTTAGGCCATGCATTGTTGCTGGTTCGTTGGCCCAAATTTTGCTGTTCAAGATTATCGAAGGCTTCGAGATGAAATTAAATCAATATTCGTCGTCTCAAATTTATGACCATTATACCGTGTCTCGCCGATTCCGTTTGGACTCGACCGACATTATGAACATCGTAGACTGTCGGCCATTGTATACGCACAGTTATTGGCCCTGACGCAAAACATAACTCGCGTCTAAAATCTTACAACGCCATAATTCAATATTAAGAACATTTAGCGTAACAGGATCGGTTTACGACTTTCTGAGAAGGATGAGTTCTGTGAATTTCGGGGTTCCACGCAATAAATTTCGCGTCACCGCTACGTCTACGATTTATGACAGCCATTCATTTATCTGAAATGAGACAATTTTCCGTAACCATACGGCCCGAGTTACGTTGTTCCGAAACTGCGATCACGTGAACCACACAATGATGGCAAGAACATCAAATTCAGAATGTCCCGTTGTTCCGAGAAAAGCATTGCTAAAGAAAAGAACGTCACTATTGGGTTGGCAACTAAGTAATTGCCGATTTCAGTTATAGATGTCTCTCGCTCCCATTTTTATGATATCCGTAAATGTTATATTATAAAATTATTATTATT